ACTGTGACCAAATGGCTACTATGAGATTTGGGAATGGCCCCTCATAGTCCCGGATTGCAATAAATGTGACTCTTTAATTCGACTTCTTGAGGCGTCCTTCTGTGATTCACGGGGTACATTACAACATTTTCTCTTCGGGGCGGGCGGCCCCTGTGCTTCCACCATACCCTCCTACCCTCGGGAGGGCTCCAAATTCCCTGCTGCTCTTTATTCTCCCCGGAAAGGAAAGCTTCCCTCTGAGGGCGTGGCCTTTGCAAGGAGGGGAGGGGAGGGAGGGGAGGGGAGGGAGGGGAGAGTGGTGACGTGTAATTAATTCCAAGGCAAAGACGAAATCCCGCTGAGGGATCGCCGTGCACAGCGCTCCCCTACCAGCTCACCCACAGGCGTCCGTGTTCTTTCAGAGAAGCAGGAGCCAGTGTGATCTTCAGTCCAGGGACCACTCGCCAGCGTTTAGCGGGTGCCTGGCAGGCTTTCAGAGCAGAGCTTTGTTTCTGGGGGGAGGGGGCGGTTTGCGTCTGTTGCTTCTCCGTTGGGGCAGTGTTTCCCGCCTGCGGACAGTCCGCCAGGTCCTCAGGCCACAGCCTGACACCCGGGTGTTGTCAGCAGCTCTTCCCATAAAATGCCACGTGAGGGTCCACACGAAGAGTCATGGTGCTGTGGCTCCTGCTCTCTCTCTGGGGAGTCTGATTAGAATGTGGGTGAGCTGGAGGCTGCTCGCAGTGGCTCTCGAGAACCAACTGTGAAATCCTCAGGAATTCTGCCAGCCAGTCAGGAAGCCGTGGGCAGGTCGAGACTGGCACGTGGGAGCACTGGCACCAGGGAAACGGCAAATGCAGAGTGGGTTCTTCAACCTTGACCAGCCCCACTGCACGGATGTCACAGGTATTACAGTTGGGAAATGCACACATGTATGTGCACGTGCTGCAGGCACACCGAGTCACTTACCAGCCGCCATTGGGTGTATGCTGTCTGGGCTACAGTTAAGAAATGAGGCCCGGCCAGTGTGGCTCAGTGGTTGAGCGTTGACCTAGGAACCAGGAGGTCACGGTTTGATTCCTGGTCAGGGCACATGCCCCACACCGGGGATCGAGCCCGCAACTCGGGCTTGTGCCCTGACCTCCTGGTTCCTAGGTCAACACTCAACCACTGAGCCACGCTGGCTGGGCCTCCTGCTTTCATATCACTTTCATGAAATGAGTATTTCATGGCGCAACCACTAACCTCACCAACATGGCAGCCTCACCGATAACGATGAGGCTCACAGAGCTGAACGGCGTGACTCTGAAGAGGCCGGTCGCTCCTGCTAGGACTGGGCCCCTGCTGGCTCTTGGGGGTGATGCGCACGACGTCCACCATCAGATGATGTCACATTGAGTTCTTCCCAAGTGGCCAGTCTACTGACGAGATTACCGACCAACATCAACCGAAAAGGGCTCCAGTTAAATGACCAGAAACTCAGGGCTTTTTCCTTACACTTGGGGCTTTCACTCGGAAGTAAAGACCGACTCAAACTGTTAGTCCTGTCTTTATGGAATTTGAGTGTCTCCTGGAAAATAATAGTGAAATACTGAAAGCGATGAAGGCCTTTTCAGATACTATGATGATAATGTCATAATGACTATTTGGCCAGATGTAATAACACATACTATGTGCGGAGGGCCTGAGGCGGGAGCAGGGCGGGCTGGAAGGGGTCAGTGGGGGAGGAAGGGGGACATATGTAATGCTTTCAACAATAAAGAATTAAAAAAATAAGCATACTGCCCTGACCGGTTTGGCTCAGGGGATAGAGCGTCGGTCTGCAGACTGAAGGGTCCCAGGTTCGATTCTGGTCAAGGGCATGGACCTTGGTTGCGGGCACATCCCCAGTAGGGAGTGTGCAGGAGGCAGCTGATAGATGTTTCTCTCTCATTGATGTTTCTAACTCTCTGTCCCTCTCCCTTCCTCTCTGTAAAAAAATCAATAAAATATATTTTAAAAAATCATACTATGAACTTGTACATAAAAAACAAAATTCAGTACATGAAAAAAAACCCCAAATATAAGGATTTGGATCTAAATGTATATGTACTTTATAATGTTTATTTTGTGTTTTATTACATAAAAACGGTCATTTACAGTTAGTTACACATTTCAGTCGCACGGTGTCTGGCGCTCGGTGGTCTGTGGGCACGTCCAGGAGGGGCCTAGGGAGCGTCGAGCAACAGGACGTGACGCACGTGGGGACCGTCCTGCACTCTCGGTGCGGCCACAGGGCCTAGTGTGTGCCCTGGGGACCCCTCGGACGCCCTGTGTTTGCTTTGGGACGTTCATCACGAGCAAGGCAGCCTGAAGCCCCCGCAGCGCCCGTCTTGCCGGGTTTGCACTCGGGCCGCGCCGCCCGCTGAGGAGACAGACACTGGGTTCGGACTGTGCGTGGCGGCGACTCCTGCCTTCTCAGAGGTCCTCCCTCTTTCGAATGATCATCTGCCGGATCAGATCCGCCACCTCAGGCCGGATGGCGTCCACGGGCTCCTCGGGCCTCCAGGACCTGACCACGCGGCCCTCGGGGCTGACCAGGTACTTCCAGAAGTTCCACCTCGGCTCCTTGTTGGAAGAATCTGAAATACAAGGATACATTTTCAGGAGTGATTTCATTTTTTGTCCAGGTTTTCAGTTCTGGTAGGACCTTCCCACTTTAGAATCAACCCTAGGGTTGCCGTCATGTCACAGACAAAAAGCAAAGCGCCAAACGAAGCAAACGCGAGACCGGAGGAACCAGATTCCTCTATTGTCGGCGACTCCACTAAGGCTCCGCTGAGCTGCTAAAGTGACTTATTTCAGATCTGTGATCTAAACAAAAATATCACCTTGTCACCAGCTCAAAGCTTTCAGTTTCTTAACATTTTAAAAGATAAAATGATATTTTTAAAGTCCTTTGTAAAGGGAATGTGTAGGGTACTTTTCATATTAAATATAAGTTTTTCATATTGTTACCAATTACATAGCTGAAAATGGTAAGACATTTAAAATAACCATATATTTTGAGGAATTGTGACACCCTTTTGATGCATCTTAATTTACATGACAAACGTAGATTCTTCTCCTTTATATCACCCTGGATTTATGTGCATTGTTATTGACTGGCCTGAGAAAAAACATAACTGAAATTTATCAAGTGCCTGCTGTATGCCTGGCAGCCGCTTGGTGCTTTAAATGGACCGCGTGCGCTCTCCAGCAGCCCTGGGAGGTGGGCGTCGTCATTCTCCCCATTTTGCAGATGAGGAAAGTGGAGGTCCACGCACAGGTGTCACGGCCAGTGAGGGGGGAGCCCAGAGCGACAGCTGGGGGAGACGGCCAGTTCTTTTCTGTGCGCCTGGGACCCGGGCGTAGGCGCCCAATGGGAGGAGGAGCTGGATCTGAGGCTTCAGAGCTTAGGAGGCCGACCTCGCCCAGGAGAGGGCAGAGTAGGAAGAGCCCACGTGATTTCAGGAGAACCCCGAGGGTCAGAGGGTCAGCAGGGTGAGGGTGGGTGGAAGGAGGACGCTGCAGGGGGGAGGAGGAGGCGGGACCACCTGGTCAGCAGGGGCGTGACAGAGCCGGACACAGCGAGCGAGGAGGGGAGTGGAGGGAGGTGGCAGAGACACGGGGCTAGCTCTCCTCTCAGAAATGGAGGAGGAGGAGGAGGCGGCGGGAGGAGCAGTTTTCGGAGGCGGAGATGCTTTGCTTTGTGCTGGAGGAGAGCCAGCGAGGGCGCCTAGGTGACAGGTGTTACAGTGCAGCCTGTAGTCACTTCTGTGTCTTTGCTCTGCACACGGGGCCCAATGACCTGCAGGGAAAACAGGGCCGAGGACCCGGCTGCCTCGTTGGATGAGAGGACGGCACCTGAAGGATCTGAGTCGGCCGGGCAGGCAGGGGACAGTCCTTCACTCTCACCTTAACCCATCCCTCAAGCGACCTGAGGGGGTGGACACACACAGTGATTATCTCGTTTTACAAACGAAACAGGCACAGAGAAGGCCAGCGATGTGCCTGAAGCTGCACAGCAAAGGCCGGGGTTCGAGCCGGGCAGACGGGGCCAAAGCCTGTGCCTCAGTCACTCACCCTCACTGCCTTTCTGCTCCCCGACTCCTGCCGAGAGCCGACTGCAGGAACGGCCCAGCACTGCTTCCTCCAAAAGAGGGTTCTATGCTGTTTTGAATTTCAGCAAAAACCCGGTAAACTGAGTATTATTCCTCCTTGAGGAACATGAAATCCAGTGCGGACGTAAGTGCGGACGACAGGGCTCTGCACTGTTCACGGGAGGGGCCGGCCCCAAAGGCCACTTCAAGACCAGGGGACTCCGTGGACGTGGCTATGGCCACTTCTCAAGCAACGTGGTCAGTGAAATGATCAGAAGGAATAAGATACAGTGGGATGGGTTTGTTTGGTCATCCAAGAAGTCAAAACGTTGATTTCAGGGCAGCATAACTTCTAGAAGGCTCGAAAGGATGACATGCTGGCGCTCTGACGGCCTTATAAGACGTCCCCCGAAAGCATTTCCAATGAGATAGGAGAGTGGTCCTGTTTTAGGAACGAAAGCAAGGAGCAGCTTCCCATGGGGAGGAGGGGAGACGCTTACCGACAAGGAATCGGAAGGCGGGCTCGGCTTCGGGCCCCAGGATCTTAATCTTGTGGAAGATGGGGAAGGTGACCCCGTAGGTGCTCCTCGCGAAGGACACGACCTCCTTGCTGGGGCGGGGCTCGGCCTCCCCGAACTGGTTGCAGGGGAAGGCCAGGACGCTGAAGTGGAAGGGCCCGAACTCGCGGTGCAGCGCCAAGTAGTTGCTGTCGGTGAGCCGGCAGTCGCTGGCCACGTTGGCAACGAGCGTGACCTCCCGGGAAGAGAAAACAGTCGAGCGGAAAGTGAAGCAGGGAAGAGACCAGAAAAGGGCTCAGCCAGCAGCTGAAAGAAACCCTCACCCGGGGGAACGCGGCCGGAGAGAGGGTTATTTCATAGCCGGGCACCCCCCGACCGGATGGGGACCGGGGCCTGGATGCCCAGTGGAGACGCAGGCAGATCCCCCCCCCCGCCCCCCCTTTAAAGGCACCAGGTGCTCAGGAGGGTTTTTTAAGAAAGATGCTCATCGATAGAGTGCGTCTAACGTTGATGTCTCCATAGTCACATCACAGTTACCAGAATGTCCTAAACAACCGCCCTGAAGCATCGATGCAGCGTTTTAATGAAAGCAGTTAAGATGGTGAGTTTATCAGTAGAAGGAGGTGAGCTGTGAGAGCTCTGCTGGCTGACGGGACATCACTTCGCTATAAATGATAACCTCCGGCCACTGGACTGAGACAATCGACTCCACGGGGTGAACACGTGGCAAAGCAGAGAGGCAGCGACCTCAGGAGGAGCAACTTACTTTGCCTTTGAACTTCTCCAGGGAGACGGGCCTGCCCGCCGCGTCCTTCACC